ATAAGCAAACAAATATATATAAAAATAATAATAATACTAGAGCATAGAAAAAGAAAAATGTACCTATAGAAAATGATACTATTAATATAGATTATAGCTATGTTTCTATGGGCAATAATGCAAAAGCCAATACAAGTCTTCTGAATATACTGAATAATCAAGGCTAATATAATAAATTAGATCAAACTTAACAACTACTTCAGATAATTGCTGACATTTTAGCTAAAAGAGCTTAACCAAAAGAATATTATATTATTAAAATTCTCATAGAGAATGTCTATTTCTACCATGGTATTTTGCTATTTCCACCATGGTTATACAAAAATTACTATTTTTAGCATTTAATATAGAAAATATAATAAATTAATATAAAAAATTAATTTTTTAAAATTAAAGAAGTTTTATTAAGTTAGAGTTTGTTGGGCTTCTAAGTAAAGTTGTAGAGGAGATTTTTCTGATTCTAATGGTAGTTAGATCATCAAAATCAGCCTTGTAGATCCCAAGATATTTAGAGTTAAAGACATGAATATAAAGATCTACAAATTGGTAGTTATACAAAGTATAATGGACTATAATACTTTGTGTAACCACTAATTTGCAGATCCTTATATTCGCATCTTTAACCCCAATTTTGATGATCTAACCACTATTAGAACCAGAAAAATCTCTTCTACAACTTTACTTAGAAGCCCAAAAGAGATTTACTTATTAAAATTTTCTTTAAATTTTAAAAAATTAATTTTTATTATATTACTATATATAGTGTAATATATTCTACTGTATAGTAAGTACTAAAAATAGTAATTTTTGTATAACATGGTGGAAATAGCAAAATACCATGGTATATAGTGTAATATATTCTACTGTATAGTAAGTACTAAAAATAGTAATTTTTGTATAACATGGTGGAAATAGCAAAATACCATGGTGGAAATAGTAGCCCTCTTCTCATATTTGTTGCTAGCTTTTTATTTTCAAGTCCTGGTTAATCAATAGAGCAATAAATTATTAATAAAACAATAGCATATAGAAGAAACTATAGATTAATATGCTGCAGATATATTATCATTGTTCAATAAAGTATTCAAAGTTAGAAATCAATACCCAAAAATGATAAAGGTGCAAGCATTTGTACAAAAGTTGCACCTTGATCTTTCTTTAGCTATAAAACCTTTCATCTTTTATGTCTAATACACTGCAAGAAACGATAAACTATGCTAGAGTATGTGAAATAATATTTTCACATAAATTAGCTTTTTATAGATCTGTAGCGATCTATAATATGATAATTAGATCTTTGCTTTAACAATTGTATTTACAACAACAATAGGTACACAATCGCAGCAAACTTTTTGCCTCAAGTATCGATATAGTCAATATCATTTTAATCATAACTATCAATACTAAACTAGCAATTAAATATGATATCTTAAAATTTAGTAGACCAAGTAATTTTTTTGTTACAAGAAGTTGTGACTTCAGTAAAAAGTAACAATAATAATAGTTGCTCTATGGTAAATGAAGGTTGTAAAGAAAGAAGTAGTTATAGATCTATCTGTTTTTTTTGTCAACAACTGAGCCACATTGCAAGAAAATGTCTAAACATAGTTTGTTATAGTAATAATAATAAAAACATTTCTCAACTACTGGTTTTTAATAATTGAGACAATGTTAAAAATAGTAACAATAATCAAGACAGCAATAAATCACAGGCTCAAGTAATATTTGCTAGATAGGATTAGGTATTTAAACTAAAAAATGCATTTTTTAAGAGTAAGTATATGTCAATATTAAACAATCTCTTAGTACAAAAAATTAAAGAGAACTATATAACAAAATAATAATGAAAGAATAATAATCATCCTATCAAAGTTGAAGCCTCACCCCAAAATAAGCCTATAGAAAGAGTGAATTATATGAACAAGAAGCTAAAAGTTGAGAAAAAAAACAAATGAAGCCAATAGATTCTTCTATAATAACTAGCATTCAACTATTTTTAATAATGTCAGATTTTCAAAATAATAAGGCTAATATTACATATGCATAATTGTTTCAAGCTGTGCCAGATTTGAGAAAAAAAACTCTAAAGTCATTGTATTCTGAATGAATTATGAAATTGAAGTTTATTGATATCTGGTTAGATTGAATATATAATAAATATACAACCTCTATATATTGTAAAACCCAGGTAAACAATATATCAATTATTTTAATCTTAGATAGTAAAACTTTAGGTTGTGTTATTTTAGTAGATTTCTTAAAAGAAATTAGTATTGTAATTGATCATCCTTTAATCATATTGATAACTAAAATTTATAGTAAATAAAAGTAACTATTGGGTAAAGTTGATCGATTCCCAGTAACTATAAGTAGAAAAATGATAACCTCTTATACTATAGTAATGGATACTGAAAACTATACAACTATCATTAGCAAAATTAGATAAAAAAAACAAGAACAAAGCTAGATTGGGGATTATATAAACTTATAATTATAGATAGTGACAAAAAAATCAAGATACTGACTGGATATTGCAAGCCAACACATATTGGAGATTATATTCTAAAGAAGAATACAAGTATTGAATTGGTAAAAAAAAGGACAAAGAAACAGTAGTTAAATTAGATAATATTATCATAAGACATTGGTTGATGATATTGATAATCAGAATGAAAAAGTATGTAGTATTCTATCTAAAAAAACTCTTAGAAAAAGAAGCCCTACATCGTAAATATGAAAAATAGTTAAGAAAAGTTAGTGAATTCTGAATGACTACATGCAAAAAAAAATCCTAACAAAATAGAACTTACTAAAAAACATTTAATAAGGTCTATGCTGAAGAAAAATAAATTATATAACAGTATATAACAAGTGCTGAAGGTAGTAAATCAGATAAATGATTTGTTCTGGGAGGGTATTGTAAGTGAAATAGAAAAAGTTTTAATAAAACAAATAATAAATTAAAGAAAAATAACCAAGAAATATTAGTAGATGAAAATAGCAACAATAATAAAAGAATTAAATACTATTTAAAATATATTAAAAACAAACCTGAAGAAAAAATACTATTCAGAATCAGTTAGATAAAAATTACTGTAATAACAATACCAATGCATAATCTTATCAACTTGGTCTTCGATCCTGGAGAATACTGAAGAATAGAATTGAACTGGATTAGTATAGTGAAATAAAAAAAAAGAAAAAACATTTATAGTACAATTTATATTAATTCAAATTACAATGAAAGCAAATAAAGTTACAATCACTTAACTGCTAAAGTACAATTAAAGTTTTCAAGTTAGGGACAATTAATTTAAATCAGAATCATATGGATATACAAACATGCTTGAAAAAATGTAAAAGGAAAAAAAAATTGATAAAAATGAAATTTGAAATAATTAAAACAAAGGTACAATTTTTTGACAAACAAAGCAAATAAATGTAGTGAATTCAGGATGGCTACAATGATTAGATGTGGGGAAAGAGACACCTATGGGCACCTAAGGAACTTGGAATATAACCCATAGAATTTTAAATATGAAACTTTGAATATAAGAAATGTTAGCTAGAATATCTATCCACACAACATTGTTATACTTGGAAATTATAAGAAAAGTGGATAGTTACCTAATGAATTGTGATAACCAGAAATTAAGACCTATAAACCCGAAACAATAATGTATAAAACACATGAACAATTTAGTGAAAGACACATCAAAATTGGATTATAAGAAGTTGGTCTTGACAATTACAAACGAATAAGAAGCACGTGATGTAACTGAAAGCTTTTGCTGTGATATGGATTCGAGCGAAGCTCATCCTTGAAGGGGAGGAATATGTTATGCAACCAAGTTTCACAATTAAACTTTGGCTATATAACTATTATACTTTCCTTACACTTTTATATACTTTTGTGTGTAACATATTAATAGTTTATGCGAAGTATAAAGCATACTTTAATTAGACTTTAAATAGTCTATAGTTTATTTTAGAGTTTCATAGATATATATATATAATGTTATATATTTTAGTTCTAGAGTTCTTTTTAGTTGTTTTTTAGTCTTTTGGGATATTCGTTTGGAAGGGTTATTAGTTTTAGTACGTTTGGAACGTACTAGGTTGGTTAGTTGGATAAGGATATTGGTTACATTAGTGTCTGGAACACAATAAAGAGATATTTGTTTAGTATTTTTGGTGCCTTGTGTGTGTGAATACATAATTGGTTTCTCCTATTAATGTTTACGACCCTAAGCTAAATTGGCTCAGCCGATACAAGTCTCTCCCACTGGTCGTAACAACAGACAAAAAATTTCCAAATTATGATATTAACATATTTGTTTATGATAATTATGTTGATAAAGAATTTTTCATGATCAAAATGCACAACTTTCGTATCACATAATGCGTAAAAATTGAGTGTCCGTCGCTACGCTCCGGACAATAAATTTATAACAGTATAATGTTTGATAATTATATATAATTATATGAAAAGTAGATTGTACAGTATGGATTGATTCAAAACCAAAACGACTTTAAGGTTATATTTAATTCACACAGGATGTAGATGCAGACTTTCACATCGGTGATATTTGCAAGAAAAAAGCGTTAGTAAGAATATATAATCTTATTTTTCTACGGGTGATTGCATTTGATTGGCTAAAATGTTGTGCCATTATATTCATAAGGTTGTTATCCCACCCGAGTTGCTTTTTTTTGGATGGGTCCAACTTCTAACTGTTCAGGTTTAATTACAAAAAGTGTATGACTGAGGCTCGTTTATTTCTTAATAAAATGAGCTTTATTAATCTTTTGTCAGGATAATTCTAATCAATACATTACATAGAAATTCCATCGCAACTTATATCAACAAATTTTAATTTCAACGTACAACACTCATTCTGATGCATCTTGTTTGCTTATAAATAATGTTTTTATAAAACATGCATACTGTATAATAATCTTACGTTAAAGAAATAAAGAACAAAAAAACTTACTAAAAATTAATAATTATCAGGAATTTTTATAGACGATATTTCTTTACTAGTCAACTTTAACTTTTGACTAATCTCTTGCGTGTTAATGAGTTTACTAGTATACATATGATCTGAATGTTTTTGAACATTTAATGATAACTTCTTGATCGTTTTATCTTCATTAAAAAAACTATCCAACTTCTCCACTATGGCACTTAATTCAGAATAAAACAAAGGAAAGGTATATTTAAATCCAGCAGATTTACAAATTGTTTTTATTAGTGGTACCTTTTCAAGTATTTCACGATCATGACCCGAAAGACTGTTCAAACCAACAGTTATCACTTTATAGAATGGATACAAGGTTTCAGCGGTAGGACGTTTTCGTGGATCAATATTCATGCAAAGCTTAGCTATTTCAATATAAACATCTGGTGTTCCAGGTGCAAATTCAGGGTGTAATCCATTGCAAATTTTTACCGCAAGATTAGTATTAAATTCATATCCGTCAAACGGTCTTTGTCCTGTTGTTATCTCAGCCATTATAACACCAAAAGCATAAATATCAGATTTTTGTGAAAACTTTCCACCTTGTAATACTTCTGGGCAACATATGGCATGACTCCATATATTTTACCAGAATTATTTTCTTCTTTTTTTTTAGTTAATCCTAAATCAGAAATATAAGATTTGAATTTATCACTTTCTACACTTTGTAAAATATTACCACTGTGAAAATCTGAATGAACATATCCTGCTTGGTGAATAATATTTAATTCATGTAAAATATCATCAAGAATGTTTAATTTAGTTTTCCACGTAAGTTCTTGAAAATTTTGTCTTAGAAAGTTATTTAGACTTCCATTGTTAACATACTGAAACACCATCAAATATTCGTTTGTTTTTGCGTTTCGCGTTAGTCCATACACTTGATTACATGCTTCATAATATAATCCAAAACTAGTATGAACTTTAAACTTTTAAAGTAAAAAAAGAACAAATTAATAATATATAATAATAAATGTTGACAATTTAAATGCTTACTTCTTTTAAAAAATCATTAGAATCTTCGTTAGTTAAAGTCTTAA